CTAACAACCAGACATGGGAGGTTGAGTCCACACCACTGGCCAGGCTATTTTATTGCTGTTAAAGTCTCACTTAGCCAACTCACATCTCTGAAGGCTGTAACAGAATAAGCATGGCCCTTCACCAGCTTCTTGAAGGTCACCGCTTCCATGTCAAAGGCACTTGTGATCTGAGGACAATGTGCAAGACTCAAGTGAATATGACTAAAAACCCTAAACCTTTTACTCCACCGTGTGGAGCATTCCCCTTGCTTTGCACTGCTCTAGCTAAGAGAAGCAGCAGGTATCAGCTCCCTGCGCTCAAAGGCTGCTGGCTGAGGACAACTTAAAGACAGTTTCCCTGATGGAGGGCCCTGCAGATGCATCAAGGAACCATCCAAAATTCTTAAAGCATGAGAGGGAGCAGATGGAAACCCCTAATCCAGGTAATTCGCAGATGCTGATGCAAAACACAGCCAGAGCTGTAGGCAAACTCTTGTTCAACAGCCTGCATTCAAGATGGACATTTCTGCTCCATCCAAAGCAGCCCATTCACAGCAGCTGGGCTGCAGCCCCACATGCTATGCCCCCCACTAGCTCTGGAAAGGGTACTCTGCCAAGAGGGAAAAGAAGAAACGTCCTGCCCAGTATCCCAGCGAGGGCCCTGCTGACACCATCTCAGGCTGAGAGCCCTTGCTTTGGCCATTGCTGGGGCAGAGCCCCTGGCCCATCCCAGCGCACCACTTACGTCGATGGAGCAGCCCAGGAGGGAGCCCCTCTCCAGCGCCTTGCGGATGATGTGGCCCATGTTGCGTGGCGGCCGTTTGAGGTCGTACATCTCTGCCACACCACCAGTGAAGTCCTCAAAGCCCTCAGTGGTGCTGCCCCCCGAGAGCGACTCGTAGCAGCCGTTCAGCCTGAGCACCCACCAGTGAGAAGGAGGTGTGAGGTGACAAGGACACAGCCACTGCTGCTCCCCTGGCACCCAGCACAAGCAGGAACAGGGATAGAAGAGACCCCCTGCCCTCCACCCCACACAGGGAGGTGCCCTGTCCCCCACATGCCTGCCTCAAGGGTACCCACTTGGCATAGGCCTTCTCCAGCAGAGCACTCCAGAACTCAGTGCACTCTGCTGAGTGGACAAACAGGAGCTCCCCGTCCTTGGTGGGCAGCTGGTCATCCACTACCACATCCACCCATTCACCAAACTGCCAGATCTGCAGGGTCAGGAGAAAGTGAGGTGAGCTTGGACCATCACACAACTTGCTCATCCCTAGCCTCAAACCACCACCCAAGCCAACCAGCTATGGAGGGCCAGGAGCTCCCAGCATACCTGGAAGTGGAAGATGCCGGCATAGTCCTCCTGGAAGCTCTGCCCATGGGGCACCACACGGTGCAGGAGCTCCTCATTGAGTGTGAGGGAGCCGATGGCAGCCAGCAGCCAGCAGTCACCTGGGTAAGGAAAGGAAGCTGGTGTGAGCACTCACCACCTCCCTAGCTGGGGGTAGGTAGTGGATGTGTAGGGGCCCGCGGTGTGCTCTCCTTGCAAACATTTGGGGCTCCCCAGCTCCAAAAGCATGCAGAGAGAATGGAGAGGGTCCAGCAGACAAACAGAGCTCAGGTAGCCAGGCTTGCTCAGCCTGCCGTGGAGAGAAGTATTAGCTCAAGGCAACAGGGAACAATCCTCCCTGACCAGGAGCCTGCGTCCAGATCACTAACAACCCCCTCCTGCAGCCGTTTATCTAGACCCTCCTAGGGCTCATTCACGAGTGCCTTCCACATTGCAGAAAGCAAGTTCTGCCGTGGAATTACACTATGCATTTAAAAAAACATTTTATCCAGCAAATGGTTTAACGCTGTTTCCCTCGCTTCTTAAATTGCAAGCAACACCGCTGCACTTTTCCTTCCAAGTGCTCTTAACCACAAATGCTGCTCCAGGACAGCACCACACTTTAAATTCTTTGTCTTGGTTCCCCATTCTCTTTAGTCTTTGAAGCCTGTCACACCTTAGCCTTGAGCCTGGAAAACCTGTACCGAGCTGTGGTTTGACAAAATGGCAATCCACACTTCTTAATGAGCAACTGAACACCACGATGGTGCTCTGGGCTGTTACGTGCTCCAGTTACCACCGCGAGTTTGTTCTAATTACTGGATGTGCTAAATGTGGTCAGCCCTGAAACCAGTGTGCTATGTGTGCTATGGTACATGAACTACCAGTCAGGTACCCAACTTGATCCAGATCAGGATGACGCTCTTGGTGGTACCCAGATCTGGTTCCAGTTGCCAGCCCAGCCAGCGTACCCAGCCCATTGACACTGCTCTCCTTGACTCAGTGCCTCTGCCTTGGGAGACACCCCTGGTGAAACAAAAAATCACCGCTTGTACTCCATAGCTCTTCTCTCAATTCCTTTCTGCCACAACACATTGCTTTGCAAACACTTTGTCATGACCAGCACATCCTCACCTCAGTTTATTACTGCCATCCAACTGCCATCCCTCACCATTCACCAAAGCAGGGAGCTCTTTGGAGTAGCTCCTGGCATTGCTGTCAACATGTGTCATGCATGGATCCACCCAACATCTCTGCTGATCACAGCATGGTCAGGCTGAGCACACATCAACCCATCAACAGGGTGTACCCCACCTTCCAGTTTCCACTACACTAAATGGGAAGTTAGCTTTGGTACAGCGATTGTTGTGCAGAGGCTGGCATGAAAATGCACTGCACGGGTCTGGGGAAAGGTGCTGTGAAACTGGTCCACTCTCAACCTCATTCCAACACCTCTTCTCCAGACCTCCTCAGCCACCGCTCTCTGTACCAAGATCCAGGGACAGAGCTCCAGCACTCACCCAGAGCCCCCTGGCAGATGTCTGTCCGGGTTGCACCTCCAACGATGAACTGAGGGTCATCCACTAACTCCTGCAGGAGGAGAAGGGAATCAGATGCTGGTGCTGGATCTTGGCAGGGCCTGGGATTCTGGGGGACTGGCACCTGCTGCAGCTCTGGCTCAGGAGGAAGGGTATATGGTTCCCAAGAGATGCACACTGCCTGCCCTCTGCCAGGGAAAGCTCTGCTTGGGGACTGCAACCCCAAGGCCACGAGAGTAAGGCAAGGCAAGGCCCGCTGCTATAGCCAAGGGAGGACACGGCTAGATAGACTGATGGCATTCTCCTTGCACTTGTGGCACCAGGAGATATACATCCTCAAAAGCTCCAGTTACCAAGGGTGACACATCCATGTCACGACACCTCGAAGCAATGACATAGCCCACACATTGTAAAGCCCACAGTCTGCAGCCCAGAGGAAGCAGGACCTGCTAGACATAATGTTTTCTGAGCAGAAACTCATGGGACATTGCTCTAGGCCCTTGGGAAAGGCGGTTATGAAGCACTGGAGGGACTGAGCAGGCCAGCACCAGGCTGCAGGCAGGCAAACTGCATCGGTGCAAACATTGCAGGGCAGGGATGCCAGCCCAGCCCAAGGAGAAGCAAAAGCAAGCCCAGTACTTACCGATGGACGTTTCCACTCCACCCCCCTTGTCTTGCTGGAGTGTGGCCCCAGCTCCTTGAATCCAAGGGCAGAGGGGCCAGCTGGGAACTGGGGGTCCCTAAAGAGGGTGCCGCTTTCAATGCACTCCTGTTTGAGCACCTCATAGTCCTGGTTGAAGTACTTGATGGCGTTGTCGTGCTGGCCGAGCCCCTCGGCCTTCAGGCGGTCTCTCTGCAGACGGGCAGCCATCCCACCAAAGGGATTCATGACAGGGCACCGGCAGCACTAGCTTCAGCTCCGCTCCCTGCAACGAAAAGTCATGGCGGGGCTGAGGCAGGGCCCGGTGCCCACGCAACCCCTGGGGACATCAGCCATTTCACATCCAAGGCTGGATCCACAATTCCCCACCATTCCCACAGCAGGGACCTTCTCCATCAGCATTGTCCCGGGGCAGTGAGCAGAGCCGGCACACAGGGCATCCCCAGGGGGGCTCCAGTGCCAGCAGGACCACACCCCAAATCCCAGCCCCTTGTCGAGCCACAGCCTCCAGCCCGGCCATCGCTGCCCAGCTCTCTTTAG